TAGCATGTTCAACTCCTACTAACTTCTTGTCATTGTTCTTTCGTAAGATAAGTAATTGGAAATGGACATTTCTATTCTTTGCCATAATTTCAGTTGAGAGATGGTTTTCCAAGGCAGTTTGCTTGCTGAGAATAGGTAAGGTCTCCCTTTCTCAGGGTGGAGTTGTTTTTTAACTCCTTGGCCCAGCTGTCCCACAGCAATACTGGGGGAGTAGCAAGGTCATGTATTACTAGGGAAAATAGAATTTCCTTATCCATCACTAATGATTGCTCCCTTATGTTATTATACACTGAGACCACGGAATTAACTTGTTAAGAAATGCCGTCATAGGTGCACTAAAATGTTATTAACTGCTAAATAATTAAGCAACTGAGAACTTCGGGAAATACTGAAAGCTTTTCTCTTTCTGTGTTTAATATATTTGATCACCAATTTGTGCAATCTGCATGATTCATATATCCTGGATAAATACAGAGAAGTAAGATTTTACTCCACCAAGTACTTTTTGCTAGTAACTTGCATTGAGTTCTGCATTTTTTTTTTTTTTTTTTTTTTAGCAGAAGGATGACCATTCCTTGGTTAGTCAAAATAAGTTTTGGGACTTGGTTCAAAAGAACTGCATTGAGTAAGTTCTTTTAATAGCATTGGTGCTTTTGAAAGCAAATAAAGAGAAGTAGGAACCCCCTTAAAAATCTAGAGAAGTTATTAGTTAGAGAAACACGAGCAGTGAGTGTACGGAGTGCATCAGGTGGTTATTTTCCCCAAGCCCCATAAATCTTAGGCTGGTTCTGGTGGTGAAAAGGAGCAGCAGCGCTGCCCTCCCTCCGCTACCAGCTGTTTGTTCTGTCCCCTGTGCTGACCCAGGCGTTTGTGGTGAGCTGCGTTGGGAAACTGAGCCGGGTTAGGACTAACCTGGCAAAGAAACGTGTTTGTGATAGCACGAGGGAGGAGGCCACAGCAAGGGCCAGGCTGTGGAGAGGCAGAGCTGCGGCTCTGGGCTGCGCTGCCAGCCTGAAGTGGTGTCTGAGAAGGTAGAGCCTTGGTTGCCTGAAGTTTGAGGGTGTTTGGTTGTCAGGCTGACTCCTTTGACTTCTTCAATATAGCAGCTGTTTCAGAAGATTGAGATTTTTACAGCCTGTGGTTATATATGCTGGCTAACTGGTCGTTCAAAATAATAAATAATGTTTAGAGGGTTCTTCACAGCAGATAGACAGAGGAGTTGTTCTCATCTCTCTTGCCCCAGACATTGGCATTGATTAAATAAGAAATTTCAGTTCTCACTTAGATCTTCAGAATCATTCTTAAATGGAACATTCACAGTTCCCTAAAATAACAGTGTAAGTAAAATTTTTTATGTTAGCAATAGTTAGCAATATTCTAAAAGCTCCTTCCTACAAGTATATCAATATATAGGCATTATAATAAAATCACACAAGATCTTGCTTCTTTCAGAATATTCTTTCCTTTCACATTTTTTTGGAAGTATTTTTATTAAATCCCACGTGGTCTAAATCCTATTGCCAGCCATTCCAATATGAACTTATAATTACTAATTTTCAGTGCTGTATTCATCAACATTCTAATTGCTTTTCTTGAAGAAACTGTTGGAAGCCCTACCAAACTAGGATGCTTCCCCCCCAGACTTTTGGCATTGAGCAGGGGGAGAAAAAGAGGCCTTTTTCTCTTCTGCTGCGTCGTTACTGAAAATAAATTCTTGCCAAAACCAGCTTTAATTAGGCTATCAGGAAAAAAAACCAACAGTCAGCTTTAGGAAAATTTACCAATTTTTTATTTCACCTATTATATTTTTGTTTTCCTTGGAGCATATGCAGTTGAGTCACATCTATGGCACAATAAGATAGTAGGAATTTTTGGTAGCGAAGCCCTGGTCCAAATGTGCTGTCTCTGCCACTGAACATTTGCTGACTTCTTAGGTGACTCTTTGGGAGTGCCATGTGGAAGCCTTAGCTAATCCAGAATGACTTCTGGAACGTCCCAGGGTTCATGGAACCAGGGATGTTCCAATCATTGTGTCTACCTCCCTCTCTTGGCTTGGAGTGAAGACTCTGCAGTGTTCTTAGGGAATGTTTTCTCAACAAAACGGGGTAGGGTGGCTCCATTTTGTTATTAATAAAGGGAGGAGCAATTCTGTTTTAAAAATTGGAGATTAGTAAGCCAAGTCATAGAATGTGAATTATTTAGATGTTTTGGTTTTGTCCTTCCCCCCCCCCCCCATTGTGGAGTTCAGAAACACAATGAAATTCTTTTAAATAACATTAATATTTAGTTTTCTTATGTCACCACAGATAAATGGAATTGTATGGCCAAAAAGGACTTCAGGGCGATCTTGCTCATCCTTTTGTGTTGTGTTGTCTGTACCATTTCTGACAAATGGTTCTCTAACTTGTTTTTGAAGTATTTAGTGAGTGCAATATTCCCTGTATCTCCAGGCAATTGGTTTCAGTAACTAATTCTGTAAAGTATAAAATAAATATTCTTTACTGCTGATTAAGCTACTTTTGTCCTGTATTACTCACAGTTAAGACCCCACAGCTGAAATGGAAAACAATTTTTATGATAAACTTCTGTTTGTGAGGAGGTTGTCTCCTTTGTTCTGCACTGAACAAGCTTCACCTCTATAGCAACCTAATATTGATTTACCTGATTTATCCTTCGAAAGATTGCTAATCTTTATTAAGTTTCACTTGGCTGATATGAACCACTTTTCAATTTATTGGGATGATTTTTGTTAAGGTCTTGTCCTCTAAAATATTCACAGCCTCAGCCCTGTGTCATATGCACCTCTCCTGCGTGTGTGAATATCCACATACAGGTCCTGGAGCAAGGGACTTTCTCGTGGTGTTTTTCCACCTCGATTGAAAAGAATTTGCAAATAAATACCCTTTGAGTGCTGTAGCTCATTGTTGTCAGCCTCTCTCAGGGCATTTTCCCCAGGACTGTATTAGGGAAGATGATCGTCCATAGCTTAGAGATTACTTCTGTCTGTTTCTGAAGCATCGTGTCAAATCCTTCCAGTCCTGCTGACTTGAATTTCCCTGATTATTTAGCCTAGTAACAAAATCAGTTTTTAGCTACAATAAGTCTGTTTTATGAAGGCTGGAATACAGAAAATGGCATTTGAGCCTGTTTTGTTATCCGTTTGTTCTTTTTTAACACTGTTTGTACAGACTTTTGTGTTTTTCTTCTTACTTCTAAAATATTTCTGAAACTTTGTTTGCCTTTTATATTGCGCAGTGGTAATACTGCATGCTGTGCTTTTTATCTCTTCTGATTTTTATCCCTGACAGTTTATACTGTTCCTTTATATTCATTAAAATGCCCTTGTTTCCTTTCCTAATATGATTCTTTCTAGTTTCAGACCCTTATTACTGGCTGCTTTTGATGCAGCCCGTATTGTTCATACTACATTTCCTATCTCTCCCCTGCTTTGGAATAGTTTGCCATTGTGCAAATTCCAGTACAATAACTGCCAGTCCTCCTTTAAATCGCAGTCTCAAGGGATTCTAGTAACAAGTTCAAAGAGTTTGTTTAAATTTGCTTTTCTTATTTCAGTTAATTGAAGATAAAAATTTGCTCTCCTTTCTGTACTGCTCTCACTTTCCCCCTTCCTTGGCACAGCGAGTGCTTCTTGTTACCACTTCCAGCCAAATCACTGTACACATTGAGATGTTTAAAATGGAGCCTGCCCTAATAGAGTGAAGTGTGAAGTAACTGCTCTTCTGGCACCCTCAACTTTGTGAAACAGTTGTCCTCAGCGTTTTCACAAACATGTTGGGCTGTTTGTTCTGTTATTTTGGTTTTCTATTAAACGTATGGATGATGAAGGCCTTCTCTTACCCTCAAGATACGTGCTCTGAAAGCTTCTGTTAGCTGATTCCAAAGACTTACCAGCTTCCCCAAATTTTTCTCTCCCAGCCTTTCCAGTTCCTTATTCCCTAGTTCCCATTCTCTGCTGCTTATGCGTTTGATTCTGCTCCAATGTTTTTCCTTCTCTGTTCTTTTCCTTTCCTTGTAATAAAAGCAAGTGAGTATTTTTTTTTCTTACTGTGGCCCACTGATCTGCATGAGACTGGGACTTCACTTAGAAATGGGCCAGATGCTTTTCATTGTGAGGAAAGGGGATTTTGAAATAAAATTCAAAATAAAAAGAGCTGCTCATTTCAGTTTCCTTAAATTTTGCCATTTGTGAATTGGGCTAGTTCATGGCTGTTGCTTGTCTTTTGTGTTGATGAGTGGCATGGCTGTAGCCAGCAGCAGTGTTCTGGCACCTGAAGCACTTGGCTTCTTGTCTGTACTCGTGAGAAACACAACAGGGAATGTTTGGAGTCACTGCTCACTGTTGTCCCCATTGTCAGATGATTCCAGCAGTTGCTCAGGCATTTTTGCCCCAGACCTGCCACCACGTTGCCAAACAGCTCTCAAGGCTGGCCCGAGGTTTCCTGTGGGCCACACGTTGTTCCCAGCGTGGTTTGCATGGGGCTGCTTTGTGTGGGAGTTTGGGAATTAGATAGCATGGATGGAGGATGTTCAGTGCTAGTTGGCCTCAAGGCCAACGTCACCAACTAAATTTAATTTACTGGTATAACTATAATCAGTGTTTTTCTTTTGGTTTAGTTTTTTTTTTTTTTTTTTTAAAGGAGGAATTCAATGAATCTGATAGAATTATCATCCTTTTTACTTTCAGCCTCCTGGGCAAACACTGTGCCACAGTTAATGTTCTCTAACCCATAGGGATGCAAGTTTAGGAAGAACAGCTCACAGCAGAATTGCTCTAGAGGGAGCAGAGGAGATGGGATGTACAAGCCATGGGGCTCTGGGAAATGCTGGCTTTCAGTGCTACTTCTGACACACAATGTTTCCTGGTTCACGTTTTGTGTAATTATCCCTGCATCAGGTGTCCTGGTAGAGATCTATACAAATGGAAGTGCAAAACAGATTCAGCAGGAATTCTAATTTATTTTTCTGCCAGTGTCTTCCAGAAACCCTTTAGGAGAGAAGTGGGCCCAGAAATGGAAGGGTGACTCAAAAAAGAAATGATCTGTAAGCAAGATTATTTAAAGAAATTATGCCTAAGATCTTTCATGTAGCAGTAAGTGCTGTCTCATGGCTGACTATGCTGTTGCCTCTATCTGTAATGGAATGGCAGAGTATCCTTTCCCCTGTGATGTGCCATGAACAGCTTGGAGATACATTAATTTGTTACCAACATATTTGTTTGGTAAATTGCCTCATATTTTGTGTGCTCTATATGTGATCTTCTCAGACAAGGCTATGCTGGTAGAAGAGAACAGAGAAAGTACTGTTGGTTGTGAACCTACTTTATGGACAAGCAGAAAATCTTGATCTCAAGGCTCGTTAACCAGACACTGTCAGTGGGGGTTTTAAATTACTGATAACATAAATAAATATTTGTTTAGCAATATTTTCAGTTTACTTTTTTCAATTCATGTGTCTCTTTTTATTTTACTTGCTTTAGACTGTCTTGATAGGCAAAAATAACCTGTTTTTAAATTGTTAGCTTGACCATGTTATTTGAAAGCCTTTTTTTAGACCAATGAGATTTTCTTGTCTATACTTAGTTAACATGCTCACACTTAGAAAAAGTGAAGTCATAACTGTCTTGGACATGTTTTAACTTGTTGAGCTGAAGCTTTGGCTCTCAGCTATCCTGTATCTTTTCAGGTGCAGTTTTCCTTGTGTAGTTAGAATTTGGGAAAGTATTTTGATAGGCGTTGGTTCGCAGGCTTTTATCTAAAGACTATAAATGTTGTTAGATCAAGTTGTTGAGTTTTTCTGGGTTTTTTTCCTCTTTTTTTTTTTCTTTTGTTCCTTTTTGTCACCCAATATGTAGCCTGAGCTGAACCTGGGGAATATACAGCTGCGTGGATGTGACCACGTCATGTGGTGTGGGAGCATATTCCATGACAGCTATTAGTAATGGGCCTTGGGGACAGGGCAGAGACTGAATTCTAGCTCCTGTAGTCATGCCACCCAGCTTTATTTTCTAGGAGTACTGTGATGGTCTAGTTTCTGTCTGAGTTGTTTTCTTTAAAAGCTTTAAAGGAATAATGATATTTATTTTACTATTTTAAGGGAGCTTACTCATGAACAGGAGGAGTAAGTGTACTCAATTTCTGCTGAACTCTTTATGCTTAGTCAGAAAAGAGAAGGAGGTATCTCTGAAATGCAGTTCTGATGGAGTTGGGTCTTAGCAAGGGCCATCTAGTAGGAAATACTAGACAAAGGTGTTTAGGCTGTCTGAGTATCACCTTTATGCCCTGATGTCTGTTCTCTGTACTTGACGTAATTTATTTCAAATAGGGTCCCCCCCATCAGATTTCAGCACTGTGTATAATTGCACAGCTATGTAAACAAGGAATTGAACTTCAAAATGTTTGTAAACCGTTTTGGGAGCTGACTCTGACCTGCTTAGAGCAGGAGGTTGGACCAGCTGACCCCGAGGTCTTTTTCAACTTGAGTTATTGTGTGATCCTGTTCCGTGAGCACGCCTTCTCTTGGTCCTGTCCATTATTTATGTGCTACCCATTGCTTTTACACGGTGAATGATGTGTAATAACCTTTATTTTGTAGGGGTTTTCCCCTATTATTTCTTGAAGGAAAATAATTGACTAAATCTCTTCATTTCATTGTCTGCATTCCTTATTCCCTTTTTCACCTGATACTTGCTTTATATATTAATCTGTGTGATTCCACATATTCTAAATAAATTATTTCTTCCTTATTACGTTGGGATGTTTTTTGTCAGAAACGTGTCACTTGGCACTCCAGATTTTCTATTTAAAGAGTATATTTAAAAGTTTATCTGCTAGAAAAGGGTAGGGTTATTTTGATTACTTTAAAGCAAATATGTCATAATTTATTTTCTCATTGGTTTTCCATCATGCACTGTTGAAAGCAGTTTTGTCCTGCCTATGCTAGCAGCTAACAATGCATGTCAGTAGCAATGAGTCATTTTCTAATGGCCTGAGAGTGTTTGGTTATTGTCTGTGTGCTACCTCTTCTCTTTTTGCATCTTCTTTTCAGCTTGTGGTGTTTTCATCTATATTGGTCTTTAGTTTTTTCTGAATTAATTCGCTCACCTCCTTATTTCTTTTCTTCATAAAGAAAATTTTCTTCAGGAACTGTAGTGATAGGACAAAGGGGAATGGCTCAAAATGACAGAGGGTGGGTTTAGATTAGATATTAGGAAGAAATTCTTTACTGTGAGGGTGGTGAGACACTGGAAGAGGCTTTCCAGAGAGATGGTGAGAGCCCCGTCCCTGGAAACCATCTAACCCAGGCTGAAGGGAGCTCTGAGCAGCCTGGCCTAGTGGAACGTGTCCCTGCCCACGGCAGGAGGGTTGGAAATAGATGATCTTTAAGGTTTCTCCAACCCAAACTATTCTGTGATTCTAAGGGATTACCATTTCAGTTTTGTAACACAGTTTACCCCTGGCAGCACTCAGCAATGGTGTAAAACACACGGGTCATGAGACTCTGTCTCTTGTGTGGTGTTTCTCTAAGAAAGCACCACGTGCTGTGCTGCTTCAGTGCCAGGTAAAATAGCGCTGTTGGGAAAGCGAAGAGGTGACTAAGGAAATCTGATCCCCAGAGGTAATGCAAGATGGGAAGACCTGTATTTTTTTCCTTTCAAATATTTTGGTTTTGAAATGCTTTTTAGCCTGATACAGCCGATGCTTCTCCATTGATATTGCCATTTGCCTTGTGGCACTGGACACTGGTGACATTTTGTGAGCTCGAGCTCCCTTATGAGATTTGTGCTGGTGCTCTGCAGGTAAATATCAGCCATAGAGGCAAAAGGGGACACTGTGGCTTGTTCTTAAGGGTTTTTACCTCAAATTCATATTCATCAGTCAATCAAATGTAGTGGTAGGCTTTGCTTTGAAATGAACCATTCTGCCATCTCTGCCACTGGGACAGTAGCCTTTGGCTGAAGCATGGAAAGACATCAGGGAAGGAGGACACCTTGAGCCTTTTCAGTTATATTTGCCAAAACTTGTCACTCATAGCCATAATAAGAGACAGAATTTGATGTTTTCTCTGTGGAAAGCTATTTCAATTACCTAACTTACATTTCTGTTCAGATTTTATTTCTAAAAGCAAGCTTGCTAGATATGACATCTTAGATTTTATGGCTTTAAATCAAATTCATCATAGTATGTTAATGTGGGTATGTAGTTAATACACCAAATGTGTTTCTTGGCTGTGTGACATGCTGCCAACCTATCTTGGGGTCCAGATATGATCTGGTTCATGCTCACAAGAGGAGAGAACAGGGAAGAGGAAATATACCATTTGGAAACGGTTTGGAACCTTTATTTTCATTTTTATTTTTTTACTTCTAGAAATGGAATCTACCTCTAGGGACTTAGTACAGGTTAGAAACTGAGAACTTCCATACCCCTTCAAATGCAATAAAAAAAGAAGTCAGTCGTCTTCTGTTTAATCCTTTGGCATGGAAGGTGGAATTTACAGAGAAACTATTCACAGGAGAGGATGGTTCAAGTAGCATGGAAGCATAAAGGGGTGCTAGAAGGTAAAATGCCTTTACATTTCAGTAGAATTGCCACGCTAAGGAAAAATATTTGCGCTTCCTTTTTTTGCTTGTTGTCCTTGTGTAGCTCGATACTTAGGGCTTAATCTTGAGTTGTTGTGATTATAATATAATATTCTTAGAAATCCAGTGATGATCTTGGACATAGAAACACATTTTTGTGCTCTTAATATATCCATTTTGGTATGTTGTAAAATGAATGAAGTAAAAAATCAGATGTATGACCTAGCTAGAGTAACCTAGTAATACTCTGGTTTGAAGCCCATGTCTCTTATTTGTGTATGTGTTGCACCTGAAATTCCAATTGGAATGTACCAGAAGTGGTGACTTGTCCGTTTCTGAATTTCTCTTGGTTGCTGTGAAGAAACATTCTCCAAAAGTTAGGCATTGTAACTAGGGCCTAATACAGAGAGATACAGCTTCGTTCACTCAACGTGTCTTGATTAACTCAAGAGTTGTATCCTTGAGTTAATCAACTTGAGCTTGGAAAAAAACAGTCCACCATATGTATAGACATAAGTTTTTATCTTAATCATTAAATCTATCGCTTCTGTTGCTTACAAAAAAAAAGAAGTCTGTCTTATCAGAGGCGACTGATCCCATTTTCCCCATGTACATTTTCTTGGCAGAGGCATTGGCATTAAACAGTTCCTGCCTTGCCATCCTGGCGACACACGTTTGTGGAGACGTGTGAATCGGGGCAGGGAATTGCTGCAGACAAAATTGCTTTGCCTTTTCTTGGTGTCCAGCCCCACTGCTTCTTGCTGGGTTACCCTGCAGCAGGATCAGCCCATGTGTCTGGTTCTCAACATGATCCAACATCCAGCTGAACGGGAACAGTTTGGAGGCTGGGAAGAAGAGGGGTGGGGTGGGATCAGCCTCAGTTAGAACTGCTGCCCAGGTTGTTCCTTTAGCTCCTTGTGGAATCCTGCTGAGTGCAATGTATGGATAATTTGTGTGGTGTCGACATGACTGGTGTTTGGACCATGTCTGATTGTGCTGTAGCAAAATTACACTTTGTCCTTCCTAAGATTTTCATGGCAATTAATGTTCTTTTACAGTAAAAGAACTGAATCTCGTCTCTGGTGTGTTAGAAAATGCATCTCCATGTTCAGAACTCTGGGGAAGAAGGCGGCCAGCTAACATGGCTTCATACCTGTTAACTTGCAACTTGGATCACATGAAGGGCAGGGGAAAGTACTGAGAGTAATTTAATATTATTATTTTAACCAGCTATTATTAAATTACAACTTGTTTGCGCTAACATACTTAAACTTGTCAGGTGACCCATTACCTGGTATGTTTGTTAAAACCTGCATTTTTTAATGGAATGTAACATTTGAAAATATCTGCAGGTTTGAGGTACAGCAGCACAAACAACCCTGTGAATTGATGTAGCCTCATCTGATGCTGCTGCTGGGTGGTCACCTCAGACAGTACTGCAACCAGGGTTGTAGTGGAAGCTTATCAAAATAGGCAGTTATGGGAT